TACTCTGCAAGCCTCCTGGATACTACCAAAGATTTGTCCATGAAGCCATCCAGATATACAAACACAGACATAACTTGAACCGAGAGGATGGATTCAAATTCAGCAATCATTGGAAGGATGTATTTAGCCAAGTTAAACTTTAGCTGCCGTGCAGTTTACTGCTAGACAGCCAGTTTACATTTATTTTCATATTCATATCCATATTCAAAGTCTTCTGCTCCCAGATTTACACACTACCATCAGCATTGCCACACGTTATTTCGAGCTTGCAAGTTTAGCTTGCGCCTTTATAATTTTTCAGATATACAAACAAAGACATAACTTCAACCGAGATGATGGATTCAAATTGAGCATTAATTGGAAGGATGTAATTAACCAAGTTAACAAACTTTAGCTGCCGTGCAGTTTACTGCTAGACAGCCAGTTTAGATTTATTTTCATAATCATATCCATATTCTCAGTCTGTTACCCCCAGCTTCACACACTACCATCACCATTACCACACAGTGTCTTCAGCTTGCACAATATATCCCCCCCAGCAGCATAACAAAAGGCTGCTTAATCTTAGCTTCCTTATCTACTTCCGCCCCCGGAATCACAAAGCTTTAGTTTTAACTCCGTACGTTGCGCCCACCCCGTTCCTCACATCGCCCATACACTCACCATGGCTCCTCCCCTCCCTCCATCCCCCGCGACTATATAATTCCTCGTCACAGCCATCTCTTAGACACACTTAAGCGGTTGTGCTTTCGCTACGTTGTCCCCACCTGAAGGACGCTTGTGTTGTGCCCGAAAAGTCGTGATTTATTTTTGTTGTTTTAATTTATTTTATTTTTTACCTACGTGACTTTACTGAAAAAAACAAAGAGTATGAATCCTTGCAGTCACGAAAGCTTCAAATCTAATTTTACAAGGAATCATGTCTGCATTAACCACAATGTTTGTGGTCAGAATGTAAACAAGAAACACACTATGATAATGACGATGCGCTCCCCAAATTTCACCAGGTTCACTGTTCATGAACTCTTGGAAGTGCTTGCACAAAGGATAGTAACATCTCATCCTGTGTTCTTGGAATCGGAATTGTCCTTGAAACTGATTGGTCCACACCAGAGACAGCTTTCTTTTGAGCCTCGTCTCAAACGGTGTTAGACAAGAGGACACCAAAAGGCGTACAGCCCAAAGACAATGCACTATCAGAGTAATGAGAGCTCGGGGTTAGCATCTACATCATGGGACCTCCTTTGCCAGTACCAAAATATTATCAGAGTATGTTTTTTGTTTGCATTCTGACCACAAGCATTGTGGTTAATGCAGACATGATTCCTTCTAAAAGGTTTCAGTTTGGGTTTTTAGCATCTTAACACCTATTTTGTTGCCAGAATAAAGGGGAACCTATTATGGTATTATATCTGTCAGCTTCTGATGTAAGTGTAATAAACGACTCCTTCACACGTTGTCGCTCTCCGTTGGTCCTTTATTGGGTTCTTTTCCTTTCACCTGCTGGTCCTCGCTCCGATCCCTCGCCGTGCGCCCCGCGCACGCTCCGTGTGGCTCTCTCTCTCTGTCCGTCGCCGTACGCCCCGCGCACGCTCCGTGTGGCTCCCGCCACGCCGTCACCTCCGGCCTCTCCGTGTGCTCTTCCTCACCCGCTCGGGCCACACCGCCCTTCGGGTCCCCCACACCCGCTCCGGCTCTCTCCTATCGGCCCCAACCACGTGGCAATGGCGCCACTTCTCCCTTCACTGCCAGCGTGGCTCCCCTCTGTCGTTCACTCTCTTCTCCCCAGCTCCTCCTCCGTCTCTCCCTTATATCCCCTCTCTCACGTGACCCAAACTCCACCTTCTCATCCTGCCCCTGTCTCCCCCCCCCACTCACCCCGACGACCAGGCTCCGCCTCTCCAATACACCGGCCCGTGTGAGTGGTGCGGAGGCAGCGCCCACCCTGTCCTTGCTTGCATTACACTCCCCCCCCCCCCCCCCGATGAAAAAACCAGCCGACCTCGGCTGCAACAGAATAACAATAATGCGAGCAACACATGACACACCGGCATAAGAAGACAACGGAGAGAAGAACAATAACAATTAACGAAAGGGAAGGGATTTCGAACGCCGGGCCGTCTTGCACGGGGGTGCCCCCCCGTGCGGACTGCGGCCGTGACGGGGTTTTAGGAGCGGCGGGACTGGAACCGCCCGCCGCTGTTGGAGGCCCGTCACCCCCAGCGTCCCATTCCCCAAAGAGGCCCGTCATCGAGCCCTCCTGCAATTGCGCCCGAGGTGCGGTTGTAGGGGCAGCGGGGTGAAGTGTCCCCGTCGCCGTGGTAGGCCCACCCGGAGCAGAAATCAGCATGTCCGGCAGGATCACCGCCGGAGTGGTGAGGGTGAGCAGTGAGGGTGAGTGGTGATTGGTGAGGGTGTGATTGGTGAGGATGAGTGGTGAGTGGTGAGGGTGAATAGTGAGGGTGAGTGGTGAGCGGTGAGGGTGAGTGGTTGTTGTGAGGGTGAGTGGTGAGTGGTGAGGGTGAGTGGTGAGGTGAGTTGTGGTTGTTGAGGGTGTGATTGGTGAGGATGAGTGGTGAGTAGTGAGGGTGAGTGGTGAGGGTGAGTGGTGAGGGTGAGTGGTGAGTGGTGAGGGTGTGTGGCGGTTATGAGTGGTGATTAGTGAGGGGTGAGTGGTGAGGGTGAGCGTGAGTGGTGAGTGGTGAGGGTGAGCAGTGTGGGTGAGCGGTGATTGGTGATTGGTGAGGGTGTGATTGGTGAGGATGAGTGGTGAGTGGTGAGCGGTGAGGGTGAGTGGTTGTTGTGAGGGTGAGTGGTGAGGGTGAGTGGTGAGGGTGAGTGGCGGTTGTGAGTGGTGATGGGTGAGTGGTGAGCGGTGAGGGGTGAGTGGTGAGCGTGAGTGGTGAGGGTGAGTGGTGAGGGTGAGTGGTGAGGGTGAGTGCTGAGTGGTGAGGGTGAGTGGTGAGAGAGTGGTTAGTTTTGAGGGTGAGTGGTGAGGTTGAGTGGTGAGGATTAGTGGAGAGTGGTGAGTGGTGATTGGTCAGTGGTGATTGGTGAGGATGAATGGTGAGTAGTGAGGGTGAGGTTGAGTGGTGAGGGTGAGTGGTGGTTGTGACGGTGAGTGGTGAGGGTGAGTGGTGAGGGTGAGTGGTAAGGCTGAATGGTGAAGGTGAACGGTGAGAGTGAGTGGTGAGGGAGAGTGGTGAGGGAGAGTGGTGAGGGTTAGTGGTGAGGGTTAGTGGTGAGAGTGAGTGGTGAGGGTGAGTGGTGATTAGTGAGTGGTGAGGGTGAGTGGTGAGGTGAGGGTGAGTGGTGAGGGTTAGTGGTGAGGGTGAGTGGTGAGAGTGAGTGGTGAGGGTGAGTGGTGATTGGTGAGTGGTGAGGGTGAGTGGTGAGGTGAGGGTGAGTGGTGAGGGTGAGTGGTGAGGGTGAGTGGTGAGGGAGATTGGTGAGGGAGATTGGTGAGTGGTGAGTTGTGAGGGTGAATGGTGAATAGTGAGTGGGAGTGGTGAGTGCTGAGGATGAGTGGTAAGGGTGAGTTGTGAGTGGTGAATGGTGAGGGTGAATGATGAGTACAGTCAATATGCACTGCTGTCATCATAGCAGGTACCACCACAGTATGTACTGCTGTCGTCATAGCAGGTGCCACCACACTCGGTATGTACTTCTGTTATCATACCAGGTACCACCACCACAATATGTACTCCTCTCATCATAGCAGATACCACCACAGCAGTATGCACTGCTGTAATCATAGCAGGTTCCACCACAATATGCACTGCTGTAATCATAACAGGTACCAACACAGCAGTGTGCACTGCTGTAGTGATAGCAGGTACGACCTCAGTCGGTATACACTGCTGTAGTGATAGTAGATACTGCTATCGAGTTGGTAGATACCGCTATACTAAATACTAAAACAGTCAGTATATACCACTACAGTCAGTCAATACTGCTACAGTCAGTATATACTACTATACAGTCAGTACATACTACCATGGTGAGTAGCTACTAGAGTCAGTAGATACTATTATAGAGTGAGTAGATACTGCTATAGAGTTAGTAGTTACTACTATAGTCAGTGGATACAACTATAGAGTCAGCAGATACTATACAGTTAGTCGTTACGAGTATATAGTCGGTAGATACTACTGTAGGCCCAGTAAATACTACTATGGTCAGTAGTTATTACAGTCACTAAATACTACTACACAGTCAGTAGCTACTACTGGCTCAGTAGATACTACGGTACAGTCAGTAGATACTACTACAGAGTCAATAGATACCACTTCATCTGTTGTATGTAAGGTGTTGTTAGTATATATACCTACGAGGGGTAAAGATATTTTTTGAGGGGGGGGGGGAGACCACAATTTTCGGAAACCTTTTGACATCAACTATTTACCCCACACTTTCTACAACTTTTTGGACTTGTGAAAGCCTCTTATATATTTGTTGGTGGAGAAATGTACAAACAGCCCACCGGGCTTTGACAATACCTTAGTATCTGTGTATATATATGTAAGGATTTTAAGAAATATATTTTTCACCAGGGCAAAGCCGGGTACTTCCGCTAGTTTTATATATATCCTATACTGTGACGTATTAGAGAACGTAACATGTTCTCGTTTACAAATGTAATGCCATGGTATGTACAGCAATACACTATTCTACACAAGAACAAACCAGACAAGCATTCCGAGCCATTCTGGCTAGACTACACCATTGATACAATCACAGCCAAATACGGATGTGTATGCACTTACAGGAATGTCGCAATGTCACCTTAAAGGTACTATGCACATTGAACACATGAACTGCTACGTGGCTCTTTAGTGTACCCACTCTATTTGTGTGCATCTGTGGGGGTTTACTTGTCAGATTGCTTCCTTTTGACAGCAGAGACAAGGGGGTGTTGGGTAAACTATAGATTTGCATGGGAACGGATACAAAAGCAGTTGCCCAGGAAGTGTGACGCCAGTTTTACTGTTGAAAGTACAGCCATGGGATGCTGCTGGAGCAGGTATTGCTGCTGCTGCCCCTGTCTCAAGAGAAACTCCATCGATTCCAAGCTCCCTACCAGCAACCGAAAAGATGGCGTGGTCAACACTGCATTCGAAGTTCAACAATCTGAAGAAAACGTCTCAAAGTCTAGTAAAGTTGACATTCAGAGCAGGGGGAAGAGTACAAGTCGGCAGTCAGGTTTCCAGGGAGGCAAAAATAATAATAGAATTGATAAAACGTCCGTGGAGATTCCCTCTGTGAGCATAACGAATAAACGGACGCGTCAAGAGGTTGCACAGACCGAGCTGGAACTTCATGCTTGCGACATCAATAACGTAAACCAAGGTCGCCAAATTGACAAGGCACAGAGTGTAAAGGGTTATTCTGAAGCAGGTCTGAAACACAAAGATGTTAAAGATGTCCCTATCAAAAAAGTCACAGAGTTTCAACAGTGGAAGAGTCCTGTTCCAAACCTTGACATTTTTAAAAATCTTGACCAGCGTGTTATCAAAGTAAGTACTTGTGCACTCAGTTGTATGTGTGTATTTAAAATTAAAATTTATATTTCAGTTAACAACATATGCATACAATGGCTTTCGAAAAATGTATAGTATAATTATTTAAGGATCCCATAAGGTTCACCTACACTGTTTATGCTATCCAAATGCAAAGCAATTACAGCTTTCTGCTGAAAGTGTGGTTCAGTTGTGGCAACTGCTGTGCCAATGGATGTGACATCTGCACACAGCAGTCTGAATATTTATGTGATGGTGGTAAAAAATGTCATGTGCTGTGGGACAGCCATAATAATACATTCGTTTTATAAAGTGCCGTTCAAAAAAATGGTGCTTGAGGATTTAATAGGTCATGATTGTAGGTCTGTGCAAGCCCTCTTAACGCTTTAGCGATTAATATTAGAATCTACATATCCATTCTGTGCCTTACCAGAAGCTAGTGCAAGGAGGTCAGGACTGAGGATATTTGTTCGGAAGAAGAAGTTCTCGATAGACATCGGACTGCTGCATTCTGAACACGTTGTGATCCGTTAAGGACCCTTTCCGCCAGGCCGAACAGGGGGGCATTACAATAGTTAACCCGAGAGTGGATGAATGCATGGATCAAATTATTTGCATCACAGATGGAGAGGTAGAATACTACCCGAACAATGTTATGCAAACAAGTATAACATTTTTTACATGCACTTTGAAAGACAGAGCAGAGTTCAGGATGACACAGAGGTTGTTTTTTTTTTACCAGGAATGAAACAAAAATGTTATGATTACCAAGCAGCAGGTTAAATGGGTTTGACGGGCCAACTCTGTGCAGTCGACTTGGGGAGCTGAGAAGCTTCACCCCAATTTTGTTGCCGTTGAGTTGCGGGAAATTACACTGCAACCAGGAGGTAGCTTCAGCCAACCAAGTGGTGATGAGAGGAGGCAGATGACAAGGGTCTGAATTGGTGTGTAAATATATTTGTACGTTATCAGCATACATATAATAGTCAATACCGAATCGACAAAAGATTTTACCAAGTGGAATAATGTAGATGCAGGATAGCAGGGGCCCCAGGACGGAACCTTGAGGGACACCAGATGAGACAGCACCAAAATAAATTTCAAATTCCCAGAGTAACAAATGGTTGCCGGTTATAGTGGTACGACCTGAACCATTGGAGCACCAGTATGCCAAAGTTGCTTTACAGGCAATTTAAAAGGATCAAGCGAAAAACCATGTCAAATGCTGCACAAAGGTCAAGGAGGATGAGGATACTGATAGAACTGGGGTCTGCAGCCATGAATAGATCATTACCCACCTTGACCAGGGATGTTTCTGTAATGTGCATTAGCCTGAAACCAGATTGTAAGGGTTCCATGACATCACTTAGAGCTAGGGGATTTTGTATTTGCGACACTGCTTAATCATTTTAGATAGAAATGTAAGATTTGAGATTGGCCTCTAGTGAACAGAACTGTCCTGGTCCAGAATTGTTTATTTTTAAGCACAGGGGTAATGGCTGCTATTTTTAAGGCAGGTGATAACAGGTCGGACTTAAGCAAAAGATGTTTGTAACAAAGGGGCAGATAATTGGTAAAATAGAGGTCTTGGGTCAAAAGAGAATCCTGGGGTTCTTTCTACCAGCCTCAATAAGCGAAAAGTAAAAGGTAATTTTGGCAGTTTGCAGTGACTCTCCAATAACCCGTCGGTGATGCTTGAAGGCCTGCACATGAAAGATTTGTCATCCAGAGGCACTCAGAAGTATTGGACTGAGGATTTAATTGCCTATAATTCACCATTGAACAACGGGAAGGGGCAACAGAGGAGACATTGTGGAGTTTGATGAGTGCCAATTAGTTAAACACAGCATATGGGATGGAATTGTAGAGTTCTACCACGTTTTACAAGGCGATTGTGAAATCACTTCATGGATTGTTAGGGGGTATATAGCCTTAAGGTTTTTGTAGTATGAGTTGGCACAGGAAGTAGCAAGTCGAGTCCGATATGACCACACCAGTGTGTCGGAAAAATTCACGTGTTTGGGACATTTTAGTACTTAGGCTTTTGTGACCAATATTAGGATTCTTAAATTTATTTTTTTGGGTTAGATCACGTAAATACAATGTCATAAACCCTCCTCCACCCGACACAGCCAATTAATAAAGTTGTCACGTGAACAAACGTGGCAATGTATTACTGCTTTGCAACACCAATGTGTTGAAGAGCAACATTTAAATGGGTAAGACGTTATCATTCCAGCTACTGCCTAATGATACTAGTTGTAACTATCAGCGAAATGTCATACTTAAAATTAGGCCGGTAGCCTTTGGTGGATAGTCTACAAGGATAGTGGCAATTTAAGTAATCACAATGTCTAAATAATGAAGAATTGTGAAGATACTGCCATGATCGATGCAACAATCACTCCAAATTATCATTCAGGTAGGCGAAGAGGCTCGTGCCATCTTTGCACAGAAGGGTGACCATGTTCACTGGGATGTGAGTCCCAAGGGAACAACTTGGAACTGAAAGTGTTCACCCTCCAAAGTGAAGCATAGGAAGCACGGATGCATAGATTATCACCAAGCCATGTTCAGAAGATGCTTGCAGGCTGCCGGCAAAAAAATCATCTGAGTTGTGCCGTGTGGTGGTGCCTTTTATAGGCAGGACCTGATGGCATCATGGGTGATTGAAGTAATATTCGTGCTGGAGGTGTGGCAAGATCCTTTGGGAAATTACATTTTACAGCGTAAAATGGCACGTATGCTGGAAGCACGCACTTTCCAAAATATTACTTGATAAGCTGGCCAGCTGACACCATAAAACAGAAGGAACACCGTGTTACTGCAGACAGTTTTCTGAGATTGCGAGCAATTCCTTCTGTTTTGTCATTGTTCCAAAAAACAATTAATCGCTTCCAGGCCATATGTATTCACTTCTTCCCAGGATTTCAACGTTATAAATGATCATGTTTTAAACAAACCTGAGTGTTGTTGTCTGCAACGTAGCTATTATATTCCATAAACCCATGCAAAGACTGTTTCTAGCCTTCACTATGGAGTTTCTCAAGACCATAAGCACCCCAAAGGGATTGGCTAGTGTCCATCATAATATCTAATGAGGCATTGGTCCCGCAATTGGTTGGTTATGAACAGAAATCTTCTGTTTCTGCATAACCGTTGATCCACGGCTCATTCTTCTCTATTCAGAGCAGTCCACAAGTGGACGTTCCTCCATCCATCACCTGGGGTTTGTGTGGAAGCTTCAGGTGCTCCACAATTGTTATTGATACTTATCCACAATTCACAATGATCAAATATTGAACTGTGCTAATCGGAGGTACGGCTAGTTTATTTTAACTTACATCGTGTAGTCATAATTCCAATGTTTAACTGTAGCCCTCAAACGCCGGAGAGAGCCAATCAAATCAATATGTCACGTGGGAAAATGTGCCTAATGATTTGGTTTAGAAATGAAACCGGAATGTTGAATTACAAGCTACATTTTTACAATTTTGTACGACGTTTCACTGGAGATATCAAGCATTGTGTGAAAGAGCTTCTTGGACCAGGTCCTTAAGTAGATGCCTTGACATCATCAGGACAGCCATGAAGGTGATCAGTCGAATGCTGGTTGATTGGTTGTGATTTGCATATTAGATTCGTGTATTAAGGTGAATCTATTTTATATATGATTTTCTAAAGCAATTAATTGTTAATTAGTCAATATGGTTAGTTAGTATTCCGATCCAAGATTATGACTATCAATTTATTTTCTGCTTACTCCAATTTTATTCCCTCGTGAAGAAACACACACTTCCTTACTGCGATATAAGAAACCTTGTCCCCTTATAACCTGCAGATGGACTTTCCCCGATCATATTCCACAACAAAAATAGTTGAGATGATTACACAAGACACTCAGACTGAGTTGGAGAAGCTCCGAGCAATTTGGATATGGGTGTGCCACAACATCGGTGAGCATACACACCGCATTTATTACACTTTTCTAAAAATATATATAAATGATATAAAGCTATTCTCATGCTATGTGTGGAGGACTGAGAGAGATATAACAATCTGACTTGCAACAGATGTATTTACTTGCTATGTCAGTACAAATTAATGTCATTACCACAATGCTATAATCACGTATAAATATGTCTCCATAGAATACGATGTGAAATATTGGTTTGGAAAAAGCAAGTCTCACTACAAAAAGGAAGACGTCCTCAGCTCACGGACCGCTATCTGTGCTGGATATGCTGGGCTTGTCTATGAGATGTGCAGGTTTTATTTCAAACTAAATGCAACTTATTTTGTGAACAATAGTTATTTTAGAGCAACTTGATATATTTTTCATAATTTTATTTATTGTAATATGCATTTCACTTTGCATAATCATTAATGTAATTTATGAACAAATGAGGGTTTACGTTCACATTATATAGCTACCATATGCTCTCTGGTTCTTTTAAAGTCACGTAGATAGAAAAATAATATTTTATTTCTACCTACGTGACTTTACCGAAAGAACCAGAGAGTATGGATTCCTGCAGTCACGAAAGCTTAAAATCAAGATTTAACTATCATATGTTTATGTTTTTTTTAAATGTCTTAAAACTCGAGGGAAATTACTATGCAATGACATTGGTTAAAATTATATGCAGATATACAATCGCAAAATAAGTGTATGATCGTGTGATGTCAAATGAACAGTTTGTAGTGAGCATCATGAGTATGTAATCCAAGTCCTGCACACAAGGGTATGAGAGGTAAGTGACGTTATCATCTACGAATACAGATATAAACAATTCTCAACATGCGCCACTCCACTATAATTACTGATGTGTAATTACACAGACACATGGAGACATCCAAACGCATGGTTAGAGATTTTTACAAAGCCCCCTTCCTCCTCGCCTCAGTACGTTAGTTACCTTTCCCCTCCCCCCTTCTCCCTCCCATATAAATCGTCACTCCCCCCCCGCTCCCCTACGCGTGGTTCCCACTTGGTTGGGGCAACGAGTCCAACTCCCCCTGCCCCCACCTCCTAGGTACCGTCCCGTTGCGCCGACTTGTCATCCTATCAGGTTCACAGAATTGTTTTTATTGTAGTTGTAAATACTGTATGAACATGTGAAATATGAACTGTTCTGGAATACGAAAGAAGGGGCCTAATTAAGTAGTGTTTTTGGCCAGATGACAACTATTTTTGAGTCAATTTCACAAAGACATTTTACAAAAGAATTGGCTCAATTTTATCAAATAAATTGGACGCCCAGATAAAAAAGTGTCTTTCAAACAACAACGGGCAAACTGAATCCACTCCCATTGAGTGGTTCTACGTTCCAGCCAATATTATGCCAGCAAACCTATGGCGGGATGCCGAGACATCAAACCACCTGGGAAAACTCCGAGGAAGCGTAGATCTCCCATTACACCAAGACCAGCTAGATCCTCCACGAACTCGTCTATGATGCCAGAGACCAATCTGGGATCGCGTGAGACAATTGGATGAAGCGGGATCAACTGAAGGCATCCGGCGAACACTGGAGTTCTGCCGAGGTTCCTAATAAAAGTCTTAATAAGGACCCCAACCCCTGCTCCGCACGGCTTTGATCTTCAATAAAACTGTGGTGCTCCGTCGAACAACTAGAGAACAGCAGCTGGTCGCTGCACACACCTCTTTTCCAAGTGGGACATTAAACATGACGCACTGAAACTTTGGCCACCCGAAGCAAACAATGGACCATATCGTAAAACTGCATTCTACACCCACTCTCCTGCGACTAAACGGTTTTAGTCGCGCCACTCCCAAAAGCCATCACATGGCTCACCACACTTAAACGTGAACGTATAATTTAGACATACTTGCCATTTGCAAGAAGATTACGAGTCAAGATCAATTCACAGCTTCAAAGCTGTCAACATCCATTGACGGTCCGGCTATGCAACAACAATCGACCAAGCACCTGGGACAGAAAGAGGAACACATGAATTAGAGAACATGCGTAACTAATCGTTATGCCTGAAGAAGCAGATTTTTTATAATTGTAAATTGCCATCCTTACTTTATATTATCATTGAATGCGTGTTTTTAGTTAAATGGCCCTACTTTTTTACCCGGATCAAAATAGTTTTCAAGTCGGTTCTTGATAAGTGCATGTTCTCTCTGTGTCGACATATGCACATGTTTATACACAGGCATGTAGGAGTGGAGTGTGAAGAGGTCATTGGATATGGCAAGACCCTCAGGCACGGACCGTTCCAACTTGAGGACTCTAATCATGCCTGGAACGCTGTTCGCATTGGCGGTCGCTGGCATTTACTGGACGCCTGCTGGGGAGCTGGTGCAGTCAGTGATGAAACGCAAAGCTTTACTCGCAGGTGCCGTATTACACCACAAGCAACACTCCTGGTTTTCTTGATTTAAAATCTCACTGGAGTACATTGGCAATTAATAAACATGATCTGTATATGAACCTTATGGCGGGACCCCGGGGTCCCATAAGCTCTCGCATAAACTGTGTTGCGACATCATTTTATGTCTGTTGAAGGCGAACGATACGGCAATATATTCCTCTCGATGAGCCCTACACGATGCACTAATCAAAGTTTATTTTTTTTCTGCGCATTCGTCCTCGCTGCACTTGGACGACATGACCACAGAATGATCCGCGCCAGGCGGGTCACGGCGTTTATGTGCGCGGTGGGACAGTCGCCAAAAATAAAAAAAATTAATTAAGATTTTGACTTCAGTTTATTCAGGACCCTGGGGTCCCGCTATAAGATTCAATTATACACAATGATCAAAGTAATTTTCTATCGCATCATTCCATGCAAACGGCACCTAACAAGGCTGCACAATCCACAATCACATACGTACATATACAGTGAGGGAAAAAGTATTTGATCCCCTGCTGATTTTGTACATTTGCCCACTGACAAATAAATGATCAGTCTATAATTTCAATGGTAGGTTTATTTGAATAGTGAGAGACAGGATAACAACTATAAAATCCAGAAAAACGCATGTCAAAAATGTTATAAATTGATTTGCATTTTAATGAGGGAAATAAGTATTTGACCCCCTCTCAATCAGAAACATTTCTGGCTCCCAAGTGTCTTTTATACAGGTAACGAGCTGAGATTAGGAGCACACTCTTAAAGAGAGTGCTCCTAATCTCAGCTTGTTGTCTGTATAAAAGACACATGTTCACAAAAGCAATCAATCAGATTTCAAACTCTCCACCATAGACAAGACCAAAGAGCTCTCCAAGGATGTCAGGGACAAGATTGTAGATCTACACAAGGCTGGAATGGGCTACAAGACCATCGCCAAGCAGCTTGGTGAGAAGGTGACAACAGTTGGTGCGATTATTCGCAAATGGAATAAACACAAAAGAACTGTCAATCTCCCTCGGCCTAGGGCTCCATGCAAGATCTCACCTCGTGGAGTTGCAATGATCATGAGAACGGTGAGGAATCAGCCCAGAACTACACGGGAGGATCTTGTCAATGATCTCAAGGCAGCTGGGACCATAGTCACCAAGAAAACAGTTGGTAACACACTACGCCGTGAAGGACTGAAATCCTGCAGCACCCGCAAGGTCCCCCCTGCTCAAGAAAGCACATATACATGCCCGTCTGAAGTTTATCAATGAACATCTGAATGATTCAGAGGACAGCTGGGTGAAAGTGTTGTGGTCAGATGAGACCAAAATTGAGCTCTTTGGCATCAACTCAACTCGCCGTGTTTGGAGGAGGAGGAATGCTGCCTATGACCCTAAGAACACCATCCCCACCGTCAAACATGAAGGTGGAAACATTATGCTTTGTGGGTGTTTTTCTGCGAAGGGGACAGGACAACTTCACCGCATCACAGGAACGATGGACGGGGCCATGTACCATCAAATCTTGGGTGAGAACCTCCTTCCCTCAGCCAGGGCATTGAAAATGGGTCGTGGATGGGTATTCAAGCATGACAATGACCCAAAACACACGGCCAAGGCAACAAAGGAGTAGCTCAAGAAGAAGCACATTAAGGTCCTGGAGTGGCCTAGCCAGTCTCCAGACCTTAATCCCATAGAAAATATGTGGAGGGAGCTGAAGGTTCGAGTTGCCAAACGTCAGCCTCGAAACCTTAATGACTTGGAGAAGATCTGCAAAAATCCTTCCTGAGATGTGTGCAAACCTGGTGGCCAACTACAAGAAACGTCTCACCTCTGTGATTTCCAACAAGGGTTTTGCCACCAAGTACTAAGTCATGTTTTGCAGAGGGGTCAAATATTTATTTCCCTCATTAAAATGCAAATCAATTTATAACATTTTTGACATGCGTTTTTCTGGATTTTTTGTTGTTATTCTGTCTCTCACTGTTCAAATAAACCTACCATTAAAATTATAGACTGATCATTTCTTTGTCATTGGGCAAACGTACAAAATCAGCAGGGGATCAAATACTTTTTCTCTCACTGTATGAAGGTGTTTTCAGTGAATTAATGCGTTTATATGTAGAAAGAAACCTGGAACACACAAAGAAAACCCACATGGGTGAGAGGGCAACACTCTATCCCATAGCGATGGATAGATGGAGATTAGTCCACACTAGCAGTAATGTGTTGCCTGATGGCAAGCCAGGGTATGGCACCTACTCGACGCCCACGAGATGGGATATATAGTTAAGGGAGCTTAAATAACGTTCCCTGGATTGTGTATGAACTAAACATTTTACTTCGCTATGATTATTGCACTGTCAACGCAGTGACCTTAAGGTTCCTGAGATCGTGGTGAAATCCCTCCTTCAGCTTAAACGCAACGTTGTTTATTTCTCGTGCTTCTATTTGTTTTTAACAAGATCACCGATTGTCTTGGTCTGCGGCCAAATGTTCTTTACACAAACCATTGATTTCCTTTTGTAAGAATTTGTTGAAAATGTATGGCTCGGCTAATTCAGTTGAGTTTTTCCTTATCCATGACCAAATTTGTCCATGGAATCTTGAGATTGGCGGATGTTCATAGTAATTTCAGTGCACCGTGTTTATAAACTGTTGTACGATACCTTTTATATCCCTTCCTGATGTCTGTGGAGTATAAGAGCTCAGATATCATTCACATATATAATATTCATTGAACATTTGCATACAATTTACATAATAGATAATGCATTGTGTCTATGAAGAAAAATATCCATACCACAACAACGATATATTTACACTTTTGAAGTGAAATTCACCTTGTTACTTATCCTAATTCACATTTTTTTAGAAAGTTGTATTTACGTAACCCAGGTCACCATTGGAAAATGGGCAAAGTTTCATGAGTCTCACATGGTGTATTTAATGTTCTAAACAAATGATAATACTAATTTATAACGTGCACAATTTTCACATGCCCGAAGGCAGCGACCCTGAGGCATGGATATTGAGTGGCTGCATACCCCCAGTCTCACAAATTAATGTGAACTTTCATATATTCCTTGGGTCTTTCGGTAAAGTCACGTAGATAGAAAAATTATAAAATAAAATAAAATCACGACTCTTCAATCGCAACACAAGCAATTGTCTTCAGGTGAGAACATACAGCAGGCAGACTGCTTTCTTCCTATTTCTTCCTGCCTCAGCAGTCCGCGTGCTGTATTTTTTCACCTGAAGACGATTGCTTGTGTTGTGATCCAAGCGTCATGATTTTTTATAATTTTATAATTTTTCTATCTACGTGACATTCCTGAAAGACCCAAAGAGTATGAATTCCTGCAGTCACGATGGTTTTAAGTCAATATTTATATTCCTTGGCCTTATATTGTGCTATTTTGATTCATGGCATTAGTGAATACTCACACACAACATTAAACAATGGGAGACAAATTCCAACCCTAGTATGTAAGTGTGATGATTGCCTTCACCGAGTTGCCTATTCCAGGCAGCTTTAGTTACCTTGTGCAACTACTCATACGTGTTTATAACCCCCTTTTTACAGCATCTTATCAGTAATGCCAAGTAATCATGTTCCCTTTCCTAATTTCATCGGCTTCACTGCTTTTTCAACCTCCTCTAGGGTTGCCTCTTTCTCCATTTCCCCAATCATCTATTTACATTGAAAATAATTTTGGTACCTGATATAAACTTAAATATAATTTTACCTACTCGATTGTTTCCTCCCTGATTTATGTTATGCGTATAACTGTATGCAGGTACAATGAATTTTACTTTCTTACGGACCCAAAGCAATTTGTAGAATCGCACTGGCCTGAAATTTCAAAATGGCAGCTAATGGAGCACCTTGTTAGTCGAGAAGACTTTGAGTATCGGGTACTGAAGGAGGTCGAATTTTTTAAGTTGGAACTCAAGCTGGCGATGACAGACCATTGGATTGTCAATACAGGTCAGTGATTTGCACAACTGGATATTGAGCCATATCCATCGTGAATGGTCTTCAAATTATAGTTTTTTTCATATGTACACTGGTGTGTAATTACATTGGACACAAACTAATGGCACAATTTCATTGGTGTCTTTCAATATTTAATCTAAAAGTTGATCTGTGAAAAAATTGTTCTAGAAGTGGCAGTGAATTAGGATAATGCATACATTGTCCATTGCTACCAAGATCATCACACTCATGGTTTAACTAGAGGCCGACCGAAACTGCATTTCTGGTTTCGGCCGAAACCGAAACCAGACCGAAAGTTACAAATTGACTTTCGGCCGAAACCGAAAGTTTAACTTCACTTTCGACCAAGACCGAAACAGAAAGGTATATAACCGAAGTTATCGAACACAAGATTTATGAAATTCTAGCTTTACTACCCGGCTTCGCCCGGGACTTGGATTCACCACGGCCGGCCGCCTTTGTCTCCCCAGTGGCGATGTTGACACACCACACCACTTACTCGTTTGAGGCTGGGTCAACCTAGGGGAGGCCCAGGACCAGTTCAAATAATCGTCACCGGCCGTGGGCGCGAATCGAACTCGGGCCACCGGGTTCGTAGCGCAGCTCGCGAATCGCTACTCAGTCGCTGCCCCGCCCCCCCGTCTAGGTGCGTGACGTCATTTATTGACGGCCCCAGACCGTGGTTGCGGCTGTAACCTCGCTCGCAAGCTGCTGCTGACGTGTGTGTGTATGCAGCTTATCGCATAGGATTGCCTAGCGCCGACTGACCGGCTAGTAGACTTAGCACTCGCGCTACATTCTAAAAATAGATCTTCGGTTGACGACCGAAAGTCAATATCAGTTTCGGCTGAAACCGAAACCAGACCGAAAGTTAAAAATGTACGATTTAAAGCTTTCGTGACTGCAGGGATCCATCTTCTTGGTTCTTTCGGTAAAGTCACGTAGAAGAGAAGTAATAAAATAATAAAAATAAAACATAATAAAATAAAATAATTCTCACGACGTTTCGGCTACAACGCAAGCAGCCGTCTTCAGGTGAAGCATGAGACACTACCAAGCTAGGAGCTTATATATACGCTGCGTTGGAGGTGCAAGAGCGCCTTAACATTATTTTATTTTATTACTTCCCTTCTACGTGACTTTACCGAAAGAACCAAGAAGATAAAAAATGTACTTTTGGCCGAAACCGAAAGTATGCCGAAAGTGATCATTTGGCAACTTTTTGCGCCGAAACCAAAACCGAAATTCGGTCGGCCTCTAGTTTTAACACTGGGTTTAATTTACACCCATCTCATTTCGTGTTAAAATTAGATAAAGCTAGCAAATTAACGTAAAAATAAATACTTTGTATATATGTTGAACTATTTTTGCACCGTACGTGAACAACCGTGCTAACCGGAGGTGAGGGGGAAAGACAACAAACTAAACACAATAATCAGTTCTAAAGAAATTAGTTTTTTAACGTAGATTTAAAAGTGCATAGCTCCAGTGGCTTCCTAATAATACAATGCATAGATTCAAACCTCTATTTTATAGTGTTTATCCTGAAATGTACTGCAATATGTTGTTGCTGTTGCAAATATGTTCGTCCTATATAGGAGTTGTAATATATGTCTTGATAAATTTGACAAAAATATATTATACTTTGAGTATAAAATGTATTTAAATTGCTATTTTTGGTTTTCCTTTGCAGTGAATGGAGTGGCTGAGGTAATGGTTGTAAACAGCAAGGGTCCACTGGAATACTCCTACACGCTAACTAAAGTAGAAACAAAAAGTGAAAGCACTAAACTTAGTAAATCACATGGTCTTATGAGCATTCAAAGAGATAATATGAAGCTGCACATTTTCCCACCTCAGCGAGGTGATTACAACTTGAGTATATTTGCAGCAGAGGCCAACAAAAGTGGTAAATACAGTTTGGACTGTGTGTGTTCCTTTAAGATTCACTGTGAAAATCCTGGCATTAACCCTGTAGAAATGCTGCAATTGAGTCATCATTGTGGGCCTGGGTTAAAGACTGAGGCATTGGGCCTGCATTCCCCCAGTCAGCCTTCTCCAATTATTTACACACCTGATGGAAGATGTGAAGTTGCTTTTCAAAAGTCTGCCAATCAGTGTGTAAATTTCACGGCCAGTCTAATCGATAAATCAGGAAAGAAGTGCGCTAATCATGTCATTATCAGAAACACTCCGAATGAGATCTCGCTAGTCGTTCGCCTCCCTGAGCCTGGCAACTACCAATTGCAGATTTTTGAAAATACATCACCCGAAGCCCAAAGCTTTAATTTTCTCTGTGATTATGTGATTGTGTGCTCCGCACAAATGAAGGCATTTTCTTGGCCACCATTTCCTCAAACTTACGGCAATTGGAGTGATCTGGGATGTGTGCTCATTGAGCCTCTGGCTGGCGTGCTGCCACCAGACCGCAAGGTGCAGTTTGCTGTGAGTGTCCCGACTGCTGTCGAGGTGGTGGTTGAGACATCAGGAGGCGGTAGCTCTCGGGTAGCCCTTGAACAAGGATCCAGTGAACAAAGTGAAATGTGGCACGGAGAAATCACTACCGGAGGTGTTAAATCAACAGTCAACGTGATGGCGATGTTAAACTCAAGATCTAGGATGTATCAGTACATATTGTCATATGACGTGGAATGACGTCAAAAACACAAGTCTTCATAATGGAGAATAATTTAAATTCTGAAATTATATCATGTATATAGAGCTAATTAAACGCATCTACAGTGAAGCCCCTCTTATTCACGATAAACTGTAAATACATTCAGCTAAGCACAATTTCCATTCCGTTATCTGTAGTAAAATTCTCGTTGTACATGATTAATTTTCCATACACTTTTGAATAATCGGTTGAATTTGCCACTCAGCTTTTCTTATCCATTGAAATCGGCAGTCGAATACATCACAAATAATGAATAAAATACTAGTGCATTCAACACATCTGCATAATAGGTGCATATCATAAAATATTGCATGATGAAATGCCTATTAGGCTACTTATTATCAAGTTAACTCTTACACAAACATAACATGAACATTTACAAGATCAGTGTGTGTGCACTTCTGGCAGTGCACACACCTTGTTCACAGTGAGTGTCGATGCTAACCTCTATGCTTTTATTTGTGGGAAACTCAGACAAAATTGGATGCAATTTCGACTCAGCTTCTCGTATTTTTAAAAACATGAACAGTAAATCACTGCCCCAATACACGGATAAGAGGATTCAAATGTAACTGACTCAAGCCCGCGTTAAAAAGTCAAGGAAATGAAAGTTGTGGATGAGAGTAGTTCAGCTGTAGTTTATTGTTGGTCATTCTTGTTTTAATATTGAAAGTATGTATTAATGCTCGACGACATCAGCTTCTGAACAAGCTTAGACAACCGAGATAATGTGTTTATTATGCAGTCATGGTGGTATGTAGATATTCATTTATATTTGTTACATTATTCTGTGAGAAATCCCACGTAATTCATATGGACTGCCAGTAAACGCAGCGGGTGCGTGAGGGCTGCTTTGCAGACAATTCTGCAAACGCAGCGATCATTGGCAAGCCACATCCCACACGACTCACTCTTGCGTCCCACAAACGGTTGCCACCTTTCTCGGAGCTCCCAGGATCGTTCACTTTTTTGAGGTACCAGTACCTGTATCTGTCCTGGGAAATCTGTCGGTCTTCCCGCAACATTAAAAGTCCCTGTTTTTGTCAGTAACTTAATAATAACCCATCGGCCAGAACAATGCATTTACCATGCAGTTCTTCTCTGCTGCTCTTGTTTGATATTCTTGTTCCCAAGATCTATCCCCGTTTTTTGTACCTTAGAGGTGGCAACCCTGATCGCACGTTTATATGCACCGACTATGTTTGCGGCGATTGTACTGTGCTCTGCATGTTGTGAGTGGGTTCCACAACAAGACAAAGAACCCCCTGCAGACTTCAACAGACTATTGGGGAAAGTGCTGATCGCGATACACACGTATATACTATACACGTACACTGATTATTATCTAGTATACAGTAGTATACTATATAATAATTGAATGTAACTTCAAACGCACGTTACTTATATTAAACGGATACATATAAATGTCGAAATGTAACTTTCATGCTGTATTTCTGTTCTTGTATATCCTATCGGGTTGTTAAACGCTTATTTTTGTTCGTTACCGGTATCCATGTGGAATAAAGTAACGTGACCGGTTTTCGCAAGGATAGAAATGTCTATCAATGAAGCGGAACAAACGGAACCTTTAAAATGAGACACAGTGGAGTTGACGGCTCACGCGGCTCGCAGGACGTGCGATTCCATTTGAAACAAAGGCAGGACGCATATGGTGGGGTAAAGTCTGGGTACGTCCAATACTCTTACGAACACATCCGGTCAGCGTTGAAAATAGGCAAAATTGCCCTCTCGAGTTTCGAGGCCCTACTGCCAGCATTGGCGTGAGCGAGCAAGCGCAGGGTTGCGCCTTTGTCTTTTTATTAAACTGAGAAACGAGGGCAAACGTGGCACGCGGTGGCTTTGGCCGTAGTGCCATTTGGGACGTTCGCACGTGCCAATCGGTGCATTTATGACTTCGGATTCCACTGGGGTCGGTTACTTGTTCCTGGCATTCTAAACCAATAATCAATTGCGGTTATCGTTGAACAACCCGAGTATATACGTGATGTAGTCGTATGCAGTTTACAAGTAGCCATCGTATCTAAGAGGCAATAGTTGTGATGAGATGGTGAGAGACAGTATAGTATTGCCCTGGGCTGGCTGCATATGCTGATCTATATTTAATAATCAAATGCATAAGGCATATCATTGTTTACATATCAGTTCAACTGTCACCGTATCTGTAGTATACTTCTGTAACTTAATTTGCAATTTTACGACGATCCGTTGAAATATAATCTGATAAGCCGATTTACACGATCGAATATTATTTAACACTGATTTGTTTTTGCAATATCTTTGATTTCTCACGTGACATGTTTTTGCACTAATTTCTATTTGCTTCGTTGCTGTCATTGATTAGTTTTGCTTTTGTTGTTTTGGTGACCATATTAATTCTGAACTTGTATGCTTGTGCATCGTCTCCTACGGATAAACTTCAAAATAAATTTTATGTGGAGTGCAATGAATGTGTTATTTTGAGTACTTTGAGTTACTAGAAATGCAACCGCGTGACTTAACTAGCCCTACAATACTAGATAATTGATATTGAGAACATACAAATTTGGAGTATATATTCATATATCACTAACATTTCCTTCACCGCATGCAGTACTCTCATTCTGTAAGCACCCCGTGCTGGGCCCCGGCCCCATGAAACTATCGTCCCTCTGGCCTCGGTGTCCCGGCCCCTACTCTCGACCTGGGAGATTATATCATCCACTGTGATATTTTTAGGGGTGACTGCAAAATTCAACCCTTTAGCTCGTACCGATTTTAGGCTGTCAAAAATTGGGATGTTATTCTGATTGATGACAATCTTGTTAGCATCTACCTTTTAATGTGTGGATCTGGCTTATTTTTTGACAGGAGGTTGAATTTAGCGATCAAGTTAACTTTACATTTGGTTGACATTGAAGCAGAGGAGACTGTCATGTTATCTCCATGGTCCCAATCAGAAGTGGACATTGTATCTGTTAATATTAGGTGTGATTGTAAGAGAGTCATATTATCAAGTTCAAATCGGAGCAATCTTATTCTCTCTGAGATTAGTGATAGGCTGGCTTCACTCGGCAGCGCTCCAGCGCTTCACTCGGCAGCGCCCCCCCCCCCTCTCTTGTCTCTTCTCCCTGGCTCCTCCCCCCCTCTCTTGCCTATATAGCCTCTTGTTACAGCAGCCCTTTTGCCCACTTTAGCAATTGTTTCTTGCTGTGGTTGTCCCACCCGATGACGGACGCTTGTGTTGCATCCGAAACGTCGTGATTTAATTTATTTTATTTTATACCTACGTGACTTTAACGAAAAAACCAAAGAGTATGGATCCCTGCAGTCACGAACACTTCAAATCTAAATAGGATTTCTATTATATTAAACAGTCGACGTTTTCGGAAATGGTCCTTCACTCATTAAAAATAACTTAATCACTCCTGCAGTCAATCAGTCACATTTGCTAAAACATATTTTGATGGTGACCCAAGGCAAAAGGATCACAGTGCACGTCTCCAGGAACTGCTGATGGTTTTTGCATGGCAGACAACCACTGAATGCGTTTCATACGTTTCTGCGTATTGTTTACAGTTAAAAACTTTTGCACTATTGCAGACCATTTTGGGAAATAACAAAGACGCCCGTCTCTCCACATAAAATCACATACAGTATATATTGCTCCATCCACCTGAATTTAAACTAATATTTTTCGGCAGCAATTATGAAAAATGTACAAAAGGGCTGCAAAAAGAAATCGAGACAGTGTTATGCAGAGACAGGGCTATGGATTATGGAGAGAGAGATATGGAGAGACGGGGCTATGGAGAGACAGAGCTATGGAGAGACAGGGCTATGGAGAGACATGGCTGTGGATTATGGAGAGACAGGACTATGGAGAGACAGGGCTGTCGAGAGACAGGGCTGTGAAGTCAGGAGAGTCGGCTATGTTGACAGCAATGGAATATGGAGAGACTGCCACCTGATGTTCATGTGCGTGCACAGCGTGCTACGTGCAGTTCGCGCGCATTGTAAGAGAGCGTACCGTAGCAACAGGCCATTGTGTGCCGGTTACCTCGTTTCAAATTGACACTTTATCTATAATCACTCAATTGGTATTGCTTGCAGCAACATCGCCTTCTCCTGTGAAACTATCGCAGACTGTGTCTGCGAAACACAGCAGCGCCTTCGCAATCGAATGACGCGAATAGGAAACGTCTCTTGGCATCTCCCAATCTGCCTTTTCTGTCATTGAAACAATTTATAATCACTAATGTAATATTACAACAAACTGTAATTGCTGTTATTAAGTTATTTTTTTAAAATCGATAGTTGTGGAACGCTTTTATGTTGTCTGCCGGCCGAGTCACCCTTGAAAAAGAGGTTCTTAGCTCAATGGCCTTAATTCAGGAAATAAACTTTCGATTCAGATTCTGACGATATTTTCGAAATTGAAAACTCGTTTCTTTAGAACTGCGTTTTGTGTTTAGTTTGTTGCCTTTCCCCCGCACCTCCGATGAGCACGGATGGCTACGTACACTGAGAAATAAGTTCCACACACATATACATAGTTTAACACGGAGGCTTTCTCGACCAATATTATCCATGACGTTTTTGGGTTAAATATAAATGTTGATTTCTTCACAACCCTGGCTGACGCCTGACGAGGCTGGTTGTAATTACCAGCGAGACGTCGTACTCGAATTGTAAATCTTGTGGGTTTACTCTCCAACACACCGGTGTGCTGTAATTGTAACTAATTAGCATGTTTTGTTTACGTGACAAACATTACTAATTGGCTGTGTCGGGTGGTGGCGAGTTTAATGACACATTTATAAATCTTGACTTAAAGCTTTCGTGACTGCTGGAATTCATACTCTTTGGAGCTTTCGGTAAAGTCACGTAGATAGAAAAAAAGCAAGCACGACGTTTCGATCGCAACACAAGCAATCGTCCTCAGGTGAAAAAAATATAGTAGGAGAACTGCTGAGGTAGGAGAAATATAGCGGGAGAGCTGCTGCAGCAAGAGGTTTTTCAACGGTTTTACTTAACTTGACTGCTATGTTTGTCGTGGTCAAATCTTGTAATAAAAATGTAGTCTACTCCCTGTTGTCCAAATAATTCCAAATTTTACACACGTACAGTGAGGGATAAAAGTATTTGATCCCCTGCTGATTTTGTACGTTTGCCCACTGACGAAGAAATGATCAGTCTATAAGTTTAATGGTAGGTTTAGTTGAACAATGAGAGACAGAATAACAACAAAATCCAGAAAAACGCATGTCAAAAATGTTATAATTTGATTTGCATTTTAATGAGGGAAATAAGTATTTGACCCCTCTGCAAAACATGACTTAGTACTTGGTGGCAAAACTCTTGTTGGCAATCACAGAGGTCAGACGTTTCATGTAGTTGGCCACCAGCAGTGGCGGCTCCTGCAAAATCTCTCAGGGGGGGGGCAAATGTTTGGATGATTGATAAGGATAAGGTCCACCCATGCAATGGATACATTAACAGCTTAAGCATGTAAAGGCAACTTCACTTCTTTAATATTAATGAAAAATAAAGTGACTCTTACAATACATCTCCTTGTTTGTTTCTATACTCACTATTATTACACTGCTTACATCACATTACTCGCTTAATACACTGCTTACTTATACTGAAATTTTGCTCTTCTCTCTTTCAAAGTAGCAAAGTGATCAATTACTCTCTCATTGAAAGCAGGCGTGTTCCTGACTAGTTCCCTCTCCATGGAAAGCATAGCCAGTGCATTCAGACGTTCCTGTCCCATTACATTTCTTAGGAATGTCTTAATTCTCTTTAAGGTTGAGAAACACCTCTCAGCTTCAGCAGTTGTCATTGGAGTGGTTATGAGGATGTTCAACAGAGCAACAGTCTCTGAAAAAGTATCCTGGAGGTTGTACTTCAGCAAAACCTGGTACAGCGCTAGTGCACCACAGCAGCCCTTGAATTCTGGACTCTCATAAATGAGAGACAGTTCAGTCTTCAGCTTCGCCTTATTTAACATAGGGTATGCAAACTTGGTATACTTATGTCATACTGATGACAATACTATATTCTATCATAAAAATATGTATTTTTAACGTAATTTTTAACATGTTATGTTTCGGCTTGGGTCTAATTGTCCACGCTCAACTGACGTTGGCTGTAATTGGCCACGGCCCCTGACGTTATGGCAAGCTTCGGGCCACTTCCTGGAGTCGTGGAGTTCTGCCATTATTCGTGCGTTTCATAAAAGCATGTTTTTAATAACGTTTTTTTAATATTACTTATTAAATGTAGGCCACGGACTGCGCCACGGAGCTTTTAGCGGTAAACAAGGTACCTTATTTACCGGGTAATACTTTGCGCTACCTTTACCTTACCGGGTAATTTTTCCGAGCTACCTTTTCCCTACCATTTACCTTACCCCTTGGCATGTCGACCCCTTTACCCTTTTACCCGGTAAAAAGGGTAAATTACCTTACCTTGCCGAGGCCTAGCAGCGGCTGTGTTAATGAGAAGATTGGCATGTCAGTGTCAGAGAAGCGGGCACAACGCCGCCTCGTGGGCAACAAAAGCTGCGGCGTTGGCCGCTGCACTGTGAGAGACCAGCATGTCAACGCAAGAGAACCACCGCAACGGTGGCCGTGCCAGTGAGACATTCAGCCTATTAAACAACGAGATCCACCGCCACATCGAGGAAAAGGGAGCAGCGGCGATGTTAGTGATACATTTATGCTGTTATTGTAAAGACATTTAACAAGGTAATGTAACTCAGAGAGTCGGAAATAACTGCTAAAATCGGCAGGTAGGATGGAAGCATAACAGCCAGTTATGACTTTACCTGGTTAATAACGTCCTTCCAATGATTGCTCAGTTTGTACCCATCTTCTCGGTTGAAATTGTGTCTGTGTTTATATATCTGGATGGCTTCATGAACAAATATTTGTTGATAGCCAGTGGGTTTGCAGAGTACCTTCGTCCAAAATCATGAGCAAACACAAGATCCAGGTTTGATTCAACACAGTACATAAAATTTGTGATCTGATCCCATCTGTGAAGGATGTGATCTCTGACATGCACCACCCCGGTGTCTACAAACTAAGTTGTGCCTGCGGCAGTAGTTACATTGGGGAAACTAAGCGACATGTCTCAGACCGTGTTCATGAACACAAGGCTGATCATTGTTTTAACGCTGTGGGCACACATGAAATGTATTTCTCCAAGACAAAGGTACTCTGCAAACCCACTGGCTATCAACAAAGATTCGTTCATGAAGCCATCCAGATATATAAACACAGACACAATTTCAACTGAGAATATGTGTACAAATTGAGCAATCATTGGAAGGACGTTATTAACCTGGTAAAATCATAACTGGCTGTGATGCTTCCATCCTACCTGCCGATGTTAGCAGTTATTTCCGACTCTCTGAGTTACATTACCTTGTTAA